CGGGAATACGGGCAGAAGTCAAGGGAAACACGGTGCCTGCCAAGCCCTCGGAGTTACATCCGTCTTTACGACCCTGAACGTTTGCCGTTGCGCTCCGGTTATCGGTTGACTGGCCCATAAAACTGTAATTAATAGGCAATTTGGTTGAGCATTGTGATCTTGGATCTAATGGGTGCGGTTCCAGCTCGTATCGTGGGACCCTGTCACTACTTCAAAGTCTCATCCCGTATCGCGGGATCGTGAAAGATGATGAACTGGATAAATAGAAGGGAATGGACCCTTGGGGGGCCTTGATCTAGAAGAGGAGCTCAAGCAACAGTTCCCGTCTGCTTGTCTCTCGTTTATATTCCGAGATCGATTGTCAACTTGCCGATCTTAGTCGAGCTCACTACAATGTCTCGGGTTTCCGGAATCCTCCAAGCGGCCCTCGTCGCAGCCGCCGCCGTCTCACCGGTCACGGCAGCCGAGGGTGGCTTCGCCAGCGGCCGCACCCGCCTCACAACCCCGGCCTCCGACGCTGCTTCCGGCCGGTACATCGTCGAGCTCCAAGACTCGACCGGCCCCAGCACCCGCCAGGACTCTTCTGTCGGCGACTCCATTGTCGGTCAGATCTCATCTCTCGGCTACGGGGCCACCGTCAAGGAGGACTTCTCCGCCATCTCGGGTCGCTTCAAGGGCGTGTCCGTCGAGATTACAAACGACGATTCGTCCGGGGTCGTCGACGACATCAAGAGTCTGCCGGGCGTCGCCAATGCCTGGCCAGTGCAGCCCATCACCCTGGACGTCTCATTCGAAGTCACCTCAGGAACGAAGAAATGGAACCCTCACATCGCTACCCGCGTCAGCGAGCTTCACGATCGCAACATCACCGGTGCCGGTCAGCGCGTCTGTGTGGTTGACAGTGGTGTAGATGTGTCGCACCCAGCTCTGGTCGGCAAGATCGCCGGCGGAAAGAACCTCTTCGAGGAGAACTCTACCGCCCTCACGGACTGCGTTGGTCACGGAACCTTTGTCTCGTCCATCATCGCCGCTTCTAACCAGGACTTTGCCGGAGTTGCGCCCGATTCAGAGATTTACATGTACAAGGTCTTTGGCTGCGAGGATGGGACATCTAACGAAATGGTTCTCAAGGGTATGCTTGCTGCTGATTCGGATGACTGCGATATTATCTCCGTTTCCATCGGCAGCAACACTGGCTACGTCAACTCGGTTCTTTCTCGTGTTGCCAGTGAGATTGCCCAGGATAGACTCATCGTCATCGCTGCTGGTAACTCGGGCGCGATGGGACCGTATTTCGCCAGCTCCCCCGCTGCTGGCCGCGGTGTCGTCTCTGTCGGCTCGGTCGAGGCAGCGCAGACCTTGGGATGGCCTGCGACGATCGTTTCATCCGGCGGCCAGTCTTTAAACATCTCGTATGTCACTTCTGACGGCAACAAGTTCAATAGCACTATTGATGTGCCCATCGTTCTCGACAAGGGCGACTCATGCAACATTGCCGGCTCCGGCCTTGACTCTACCGCTGTTCTCGCAAAACGTGGCGTCTGCGAGCCAGCTGGATCGTACTCCTCCATCGCCAGCGCTGGATTCGGTTACGGAATCCTGTATGACTCTTACAACCAGGGCGCCTACTACATGGCTGACGTTGTCGCTTGGTCTGACACACTCAAGCTTATGGCTGTCACCACTGCCTCAGTTGGAGACTGGGCAGCCGAGCAGATTGCTAAGAACTACACCCTTCACTTGAAGATCCAGGCAGATGCTCAACCGGCTGCTTTCGCCGCCGAGGTCCCCAGCGCTGGTCAGCTCTCCACCTTCACATCGTGGGGTCCAACCTACGAGAACGACTTCTCTCCCATTATCTCCGCACCTGGGGGTGTGGTCTACGGCGCTTTCCCCGACGGCAAATTTGCCATCTCTTCCGGAACCTCGTTCGCAACACCCTACATCTCAGGTGTTGCTGCTCTGTGGTATGCGCATGCAAAGAAGGACCGGGCAGAGTTTGTTCGTAGACTTACATCTACTGCTCTGGCTCTGCCTGCTTTTGAATCCATCGATGGCAAGATTCTTGACGAGGTTGCGTCGCTTGCTCAGCAGGGCGCGGGTCTTGTTGATGCCGCCAAGTTGTTTGACTTCACCACCGTGCTTCTTTCCGAGCCGACTCTGTCCCTGAACGACACGGACAACCGTGTCAACACTCATACTATCCGCATCCAGAACACCGGATCGGAGGAAGTGACTTACAACATCTCGCACATCGCTGCTTCGACTGTCTCATCTAGAAACAGCCTATTGTATCCCAATACCTACTACCCGCCCTTGATTTCCGCTGCTGGATCCTTAGCCGAGGGCAAGACTATTATAGTGGCCGCAGGTGCCACTCAGGACATCGAGATCACCCTCTCTGCCCCCGACGTCGCTCCTGATAGCGGTGCTCTGTGGAGTGGCAAGATCCTTCTCGCAGGTTCCAACGATGAGCTGCTGGCCGTGCCCTACATTGGTATCGAGGCGTCGACATATAACTGGACTGCGCTGCATCACGGTCCAGAGTCATACCGTTATGACGATACTGATGGCATCCTGTACCCACTTGACTACCGAGGCAAGGCGTACCACCCTGCTGACGGTGACTCCCCTGAGACCTACTTCGCTTTCCGCTATGGTACTTACGAGTTCTCTGTGGACTTGGTCGGCATTGACTGGAAAACGGAGCAATTCGCGTATCCGCCGCAACACGGCTCAGGCTCGAAAGCTTGGCTTGGCTCTGTCAGATCCCAGCCCCTTGCTGACGGAGGCTACATGGACTTCCCCATGAGGGAGATTGTGCGCTTCAACTTGGGGAGCTACGTGACTTTCCGATCTTTTGCGAACGGTACTGCTATCCCGTCTGGACGATACCGCATCTTCACACGCTCCCTGCGCATGTTTGGCGACGCTTCCAAGCCTGAAGACTGGCAGCTGTTCATTTCTGATCCGTTCTCCATCCAACTCGGAAGCGATCCTATCCCGGGTCATAATGCTACATGGACCTCTAGCCTCCCATCGTCAACAGCTGCTGTGACTACCATCGCTACCGCTGTGCCCACCACATCTTCTGTCCCGACAACGACTGCCCCTATCTCCGTGCCAGGCACAATCACAACACTCACAGCCACCGCAACACCCACCGGTCTCGAAGGCGCCTTTACCTCCCTGAAGCTTCAGAGACTGAAAGAGGATACAGCCTTCGTCATTGATCCGGCAGCATGGATGGAACTCCACATCCAGATTTCGATGCCGTCACCTGTTGCCGCTGATTCCGTCCTCACATTCGCTGTTCCAGCCGAGATCACCGACATCGCAGAAGGATACCAGCTCTCGGCGTCCGGCGCACAAGCCGGCGATACATCCTTCGATCCGGTGACTCGGTTATACACAATTGCCCTCGGGGAGTGGACAACCTGGAACAAGAACATGGTCGGCGACTTCTTCCTCATGTGCCGCTTCACACCAGAGTTTGCCGCATCCATGAAGCAGGGCACCTACGTCGTGCAGTTCCCTACCGTCGGCAAGGTCTGGGAAGCACCCGTGTACTACACAGCCGTCAACCGATCTGTCATCTATGAGCGGCTTTCTACCGCTCCATACGACGGCACATCGCTGTACACTGCCGAGGTAGAGGTACCTGCTTCCTTGGGACCGTGGGACTTTGTCCGTTTGACCACGTCTCACTCGGCTGATTCCGACGGATTCGTTTGCGCCAACTCTAGCGTAGTGATTGGAGAGACCCTTGATGCCGAGAACCGTATTGAGAGCTTCATTGACGTCACGGCCTCGGCTACAGAAGTTTGCAATGTGAAGAACTTTAGAGCAATGTACAACGAGACGTTGACGGGTGATGATGTTCTTCGGTTCACGGTGGGCAGCATACAGGGCAACCGCGATCAGTGGACACTGAATGTGGTTTATTTGCTGGACGTTCAGCTTGCCAATGGAACCTTGGTGTTGTATGATCAAAGGACGCTCGAGTTTGAGAAGAACCCGCGCTTGAGGTCGTTCAACTTCAACGCTTTCTCTGGCGAGAGGGCCTAAACTATTGTCTCTTTAGAACTTTAGAGTAGATTAATTCCCTCGTTATTGTTTCATAGACTTCATCAACCTGGTATTCAACCTCCGCTTCCGGACAATTTCCCGCTGTGACACCCAACTTCTTCTTACTGAGTATATCATATCGCCACTTGCGCTCTTCACTGCAAGGAAAACCAAGCTTATCGACTGCGCCTCCGGCCCTTTCAAGCTTAATCACAACCTTGCGTCGTATGAACCCTGAAAACCCGTTTGGCATGTGAGCTGGACTTAGCTGGGGCAGTTCCGAAAGCCAAGACCCCAAATTCACCATTTACATAACAACCTCGTATATCAAACTTTGTGGGTCGCATTCATGTGGGTGGATTCTCGGACATGAAGAGCCCCATTGAGCAGTCTTGTCCCGGCTCCCCACAAGGATCCTGATTATCAGATGATCTGATTAGATTAGATGGCATGAGGAGCATAACCGCTCCACGCAGGGGACCGGGGGCCAAGGGGATGAGACTCCGCTTTCAAAAGGTTCGGACGGATGTCGGCCGCCCCGCTGAATACGCTCGGAAACCCGCTTCTTTCCGGGCAACGTTGGGGCAGAAGGTTAACTGGCTCTCTAGAAATCGCTCGCCAAGATCTCATCCTTCCAATAGCGCCGGCGATATCGGTGCGCCGTTACAGTGTGGGATGCCGTTTGGCATCTGCTTTCGGATGAAGAGTCTGGGCATTCCGAGGGACTGGAGGGGAACTGGAGGCTGGAGAGGAGCTTTGTACAGACCGAGAAGGAAGGTAGCATTTGCCAAGCTGTGATATTGAATATAAAGAGTCGTGAATGTCCTGAATCAGTATGAAGTCTCTTCTTGATACCCAGCTGCCTTACTCACCTCAAGACTAAGTCTCGCCAAACTCTTCCAAACCTCAAATCCTACCTCCAAATCATCAGCATGCGCTCCTCCGTCGCCTGCACCGTGGCCTTCGTCGCCTCTCTGGCTTCCGCCAACCCTCTCATCAACCGCAACCAGGGCGGCTGGGAGTTCCCCGAGTCGATGCCCCTCGTCACCCGCCAGGACGTCCCCGCCCCCGGCACGCCCGCCTACCTCTGCCACGAGAACTGCGGTAAGAGCTTTCTCTCCTCCTCTCCCTTTCAACCACCCAATATGACGTTGTCGGGTTGCTGATGATGATGAACTCTAGGTACTTCCATCACCTTGTCCCGCGAGACAGGCTACTGCACCAACTACCAGTGGATCGCTCGCTACGATGCCTGCCTGCAGTGCGCCAACGCCCAGAACGTCTGGCAATACTACGGAAACTCCGTCACTGCTGCGGCTGCTGCCTGTGGCCTTACCGCTGTTCCTGTCTAGACGTATCCATCCGCGCGACGGGTATGAGGGTGGCAAAGAGGCCTAGAAGAGGGCCGGAGTGAATGATTTGAATTTTTGAGCGAGCTGATGGGAAAATGGAACGCATTCTTGACGAGTAAATAATTCAATGTACATATTGTGGCAGAAACATACATCGTGCCGTTCTCCATCTGTGATTACCCGCGGGTCCTTTTCTACTTGCATCGGCTGGCTCATGCAGGTGTGTGTTTTGAGACACTTTTTTAGAGATGCTATGCTGGCAGCTTTGGTCTTTGCCGGAGTGTCATGTCCGAGTTGACCTCGCTCTCTACCCATGGTGCTCGTTTCGGCGGCCGCTTCGGATGCAACATATGATTTATGCAAGGAACTCATCTTAACTTTAGATGATAGAGGGTTCAGCTAACCTAATTGGACAATCAATATGTACAGATAGATAGCTTAGAAGGAAAAAGGTTTTTACATCGTCTCTTGAGTAGGGTACTTGGTAGTACAAACATATCGTTGCTGGTAGTCTTAAACTAAAGCACGGTGGAATCCTTCCTTATCAAAGGGATATATAGTTGACGTAAGTACTGCCCGCACTGACGGTCCTGGTTTTGTGACATTGGTCAGTCTTGCTAATTGAAGATCCGGAGTTTCAGTCAGACCTACATGTGCTGTTAGACTACATCCACAAGATGAAAACCCCGGCACCTCGTTGTTCAGGAGATTCCAGATTGAACTTTGTATGAATCCAAAGAACGATAGTACAGAATGAATAAAATAGTGTAGTGACCATCCCTGAAGCACTTCATTCAATAAACCGCTCTTAAGAATTTTGAACCCGATCCCGCGTTGACCTCGTATGCCCGAGGATCTTGATCTAATGTTCAGGTGGACACATATTGCTTTTGCCACAATTGTAATCGTCTGAACTTTTGGGCCAAAATTTCGTTCTTTAGTTTGCCGTTTCATACTTAGACTCCGAACTTGAACATGGCGACAGAAAGCACGATTTTTGGACCGGTCTGGGCCTGGCGCCGGCTGAGCGGTTCGCATTCCTGGCACATGTAGATCTTGGAGCAAGAAAAAGAATGGGGCCAACATGAGACCGTGTTGGCTTAATGGCTAGCTGGTGGCTGTCAGGCTAAGGACAGCTGTAGGTAAGATGACCATGAGAGGGGTTTGCTTATTAGAGGTGGCGACCCCGACCCCTAAATTCGATGTCGAGCGTTGCCAGGATGATGGGAAGGGGATGCTCACAGATGTAGCGTCTGACCACACCGTCCGAGGGTCGGCATCCTACACCGTATTCCAATAGGTCGGGTGGCTAGCTTGCATCATTTCATCCATTTGTCACTGTCGATGCGTCAAGTTAGCTGATATGAAGTAGCCCAGTAAGCTCCCGGGATGCTATGCGCAATGCACGTTCAATCCTACCAGCCAGGATGACACGAGAACCCTCGGCTTCACCACGTACCACAATTGGCGTATCTCTCTGGAGATTTCGTTGTAGGTTGGTAGTTTGTAGCATCCAGAGACACGGCCTCAGGTTTGGTGGGTTGAGTATCTAGAAAAGGCTGGCAAGATTCTTAGTTCTGACTCTGGCCAGCTAAGTCAGTTTGACAGATCCAGGCTTAAGCGTGGCCCTCACCGAGAGAAAAGAAGATACCACCGTTATGGTGACCAGGACCTACATACCAAACACATCCATATTTCAACTGCCGATGGCCCATTGCTTAGTGAATGTACCTACCGAAGCTTATATCAGTCCATGTCCCAGCCACATGTAGCCTTGTGAGACACCGTGACAAGGGGAATAGGTGATGAAGTTCCAGCCAGCCACCGACCGCTGACCACGTTGTCTATGAAGCCCATTCAGTTATGCGTCCATGGGGTTCCCAAGGAGCGGTAAAGATTGCATACCTACGCTAACACTGTCCGCAGGAAGTGTGGCTGAGACAACAGGAATTTGATGTGGTTGGTTTGGATTGAGAGTGATTTTCAGGACAGCCGGGAAACTTCCGCCTGCTTTTTCCAGGAAGACAGGAGTTCAGGTTCCAAGTGCGTGCGAGGGAGCTGAGAGTGACGAGACCACGCTGTTTGAACCATCGAATCCTAACCCTGATAATCCTGGTGCAAGGATCATAGCTGCAGCACATGGCTGGTCACGCATGTAATATAGGCTCAACTAAGTCGATATGCCATCGACCAGCTGCCAATGTTTGTACTCTACGGACTCTTGGGTTGGAATAACATGTGGTTTGAGGGAGCAGTGGAAGCACTTACATAGTCTGTGATATTCCATAGAGATGATGTCTGGTTGATGGACTGATGCTGATAAGCTCAGCAAAGCGTCCGGTACAAGCAGGCAAGCGGGACGTTGACCCCTCATCTTACCTGCTGAAGGCAACTCTACAGTACCGTATACATGTACTTACCAACCCTTTGTACGACACCAATGCTTGACCGAAAGGAAAGACTTGCAGGTTCTGGGGGCTGGAAGGGAGGGGGGCAAAGAGTTGCTTATCTATCCCTCCAATTAGAAAGATCACCGTCTATTCATCGCGCACGTCTGCCATCCACCGCTGTTACCCCGGAAAAGATCACCCAATGACGAGTGCCGGAGACCATTCCGGACTTAAGGCTCTTGCAGATCTTTCTCGGAGATATAACCATGAATGGTCTAGAATGTAGCCAGACTTTCTTTCTCGATATTGGGACGATGGCACTGGGCGGCGTTGTCGTTGCTCCAGTACATCTGAGTACAATCCTGTCCCTTGCTCTCTCAAATCGATGGAACTAGCCTGGGGACCATTGCGAATGGTCTTTGCAGAAGGTCTAGACCCTTCCGTTGTTCTTTACGCCCTCGCAAATTGTAGGGATCGTATTGGAAATGCAACATGCACTAAGATCGCTCTCCCGACTTTCCGATTGGACTTCATTCTCGCCCAAACTCGCCATTTCTTCTTCGTTTCCCACATGCTACGCCCTCCCTCAAACCGCCTAGACTAGGCACATGTCTTCGTAGTCAACAGAGCTTCCCCCCCTCATTTAGAGATTGTCACTGCTGGCTTGAAGTGCCGGTGGGCGCGCGCTGGAATGCGAGCCCATGATAGGGCGAGGCTGATTTGTCGCTCAAACTGTCAGTCTAGGGAGATGTGGCCAGGCTTCATGTAGGCTGTGGGAGACTACAAGATCAATTTGTATCACTGTCTGAATACCAACTGTCAATAATGGAGGAGCGCTACATGTACATTAGGCAGCTCGCAAGTCACCAGCAGCAAGAGTAGCGTCGCACTGCATCGCTTCACGGCTGTTGACCTGCGGCTGCATCCGCGTTAGGGGCAAGGGTCTTCTGGACTGTGACTCTCTGCGGGGAAAGCCTGTGAACCCATACCTAGCAGTGACACATATTAAGAAGCGGCCGCCTGAGCTGATCCTCAAGCAGGCAAGCAGCGGCTCCAAGCCAACTATCACCCGCCGCCTACATGGGATCTCACAAAACCACGGAAAGTCCAAGCCGGCGGACAACGAGAAACGATCTCGCTCGATCCCCATGATCGTCATGAGTCTCGAACGATGTGAGAGTTGATAGCAAGACGCAAAGCTGTCAGAACTTTGTGGTGATAAACCAGTGAGCACGCGCAGACTCGATCAAAACGACTGGGAGATCACAAGTACACCGAATCCTGCCGGGAGGACCAACCTGATTGCTGTTGTAAGTTATTACCCCCTTAGACGTTGACTGACGCTAGCGCCTCTAACTTGTAGAAATAGGCTATGGCCAGCACCGTTCAACCAAAATTAACATCGAAGAACAGAAACGATAGTAAACCAGTAATCTTCACCAAGGAAGCTTGCGATATTTGTCGACAACAGAAGGCTAATGTAGGTTTATGGACAAACTTTGCAGGTTTACTCCTGAGTTTAGTCTAACTGAAATACAGTGTGATGGCGAGCAACCTTGCTCAAAAAATATCTCTTGCGGAGGACACTACAACTACGATATTCGACCGCGGGACAAGCTTCAACCCGGAATTCAAGAACCAGCAGGCCTTGAGAATCAACCTCACGTTTTTCTGGAGGCCTTTACATCGCTAAGCCCAAAGCCACACCAGTCTTGTTTGGACTACGGCGTCCAGTTTGATACGGTCCACGGAAGCATCGACTGTCGCAACATCCTTTTGCCCTCAGATGCTCTTGAACAAATCCCCAATGACAAAGACAAACCACTTATGATGCTTCTACCAACCACCTCGCTGGACATCAAGCTTAACCACTCTATCGCTTCACCTTGCGAACCCATAGAGAGCGTCCACGACCAGGTATCTGTAGCTTACCAATCCCCATCATGGGTTGGAATACAATCTTACGACTCAATGGTACGGCGGTGTTCTACGAATCCATTTGATGTACCGGTATCGCCGACGGATATGACTTACTACAACGATACAATCTCGAGCTCTAGTACTCCGCGGTCAAACAGCATGGACGGAAATGCGATACCAGTGGATTCAAATGCACTTCACGGAAACCTCTGCAATACTCAGCCCACCATAGAGTTTGGCCCAGTCGACTGGTGGACTTCAACTAACCTCCAACCTACAACACCATACTTTCCTCTAGACTCTGGCATGGATTCGACGTTCTGGGACTATTCCAATGCTCCCGGTCTGCTGCAGCCACGCATGCCCATGGTCTATTCCCTATCATCTGCTACACAATCCCCGACCAGCATCAATTCATCCTATGGATTTACATCTCCTGCGAGTGGAGAGACTACAGGTCGTCAGAGTTTTGCTTCTAGCGAAGGAATGGACGAGCGAGAAGTTGACGAGGAGCGTGCAACTCCCAAAAAGAAGAGAAAGTCGAACAACGACGTTGTCGAGAAATTTCAACAAGCGCCTGGCAAGCCAATCTTGCAGAGGCGGCATAGTACTATTCCCGCCACACAGCCGCCGGCTCTCGGCCGCGAACGTCACAGGCGAGCGTCGGCCCGCAATTGGCAGAAGCAGAAGCAGCAGAGTGCCGACCTCGAGTCAGCCAAAGATACCGCCGAGGCTCGCAATCGGGAACTTCACCAAGAGCACTCGAAAATTCTGAACCAGGTCATGAGCCTCAAGAACGCTCTCATGGATCACGCCGAGTGCAACCACCCGGCTATCAATGGGTGGCTCCGCTGCCAGGCGGCTAATTATGTTCTCGCTAAGGGCGGATCAGTCGACATGGGATGGAAGGGTGAGGTTGAATCTAATGCGGGTGAGCTGTCGATGACGGGTTACACTCCGGGCTGGACTGGGACTCCATGTGCTTGAAAGCCATGGTGAAACACCTCACGAGAGGAACCTTCATAATTTTAGTAAACCAAAGCTCATCTTGGGGTCCCTCATGATCTAGTTGCTTAATCTTTAGCCTCTTTGTCAACCTGAGCAGTGTAAGTGGTGACGGGTCGGAATCTAGTGCTGGTCAATTTCGTCGTTGGCCTTGAGCCCATATCCAGTCTCGTGGGTAATACTACAGCCTCGAACATCAGAAGAGCCAACGTCGCCGAGCCGCAGATCCAGCTAATCCAACCCTCAGAACTTGGTACGAATCATGCTTTGTGTTAGTTAAGGCTATCTGCTAAAGACTACATTCCCGCGATAATATCGAGAAGCACTGCGTAGGACATCTGAACCCTTTCGGCTTCCTGGAACGAAGCTTGTTTCTATAACCCGATCTTATCTACCGAAACTGATACTCATCCTTGTCCAGGTGATCTGAAAGACAGTAATACTACTCTCACCATCCCTGTGTGACCAATTGAGTACATCGTTCAACTGATAGACTCTCAACGGCCCCGTATCCGGTGACCCTGAGTTTAATCTTCAGAGCAGCGTCATCCTGGCGAATCGGTGAGACCTAGTGATCATATCCTTGAACACAGTTCTGTTCACACGGATACCTCAAATTAAGACGAAAACTCCGATCGTGGACGCACACCTTAGCAATTTGAGCACCCAAGTGGAACTCACGATCAAGTCGAGAGAAGTTGCGGGAGCAGCGAGATGCAACTCTGTCATACCTTAGGACAACATGAAGAATTATCACATATCACAGAGGGTAACATAATATTAAAATAAACCCAAAACTCCTGGTATCCACGACCCGTCGTAAGACGTCTAAATAATCATAAATCTCGTAGCCCTCCATATGGCGGCAACGGAGAGGCTTTTAACCGGTACCTTCTTTCCGCCTGATGTTTTTTGCCGTTATTTTTTGCCTACCCCATTTGCCAGTCGGTTCACCAGCAAGCCACCCAGCGTAGCCTGAATAGTATCCTTTTTGCTTCCGCCACCGTCTTTTGAGCCGTGCTGCCCATTGGTATTGTTATTGAAAGCCGCGATGGCAGCAGCACCAGCCGCAGCCGTCGCCATCCTCGTTCCCTTCTGAGACCAGGACGTCTTTTCCTTCCTCATCCTCCATGCCTCACTTGCGCCCGCCACGACGGCGGCGGTAGCGGCAGCCTGTATGATTGCAGCCTTGTCAGAATCGTTGCGTTCTGGTCCTCTCGATGACCGAGAAGTCTTGCTATCCTTCCGACGACTGCTGCTGCTCTGCCCATGGCCTCGTCGACGAGGCCTATCATCTCCGCTGTCGGAGTACTCAGCGTATGTATCGTGCCTTCGGGCAGGAGGCCTACCATAGCTCTCCGAACGGGCGCGGGCAGGGCCGACGGGGCTGTAGGAATCGTGGCGGCGAGTGCTGCGCCGATGACCACCGCTGGCCTCGTACTCATGTGCACTACGAGAAACGCGGCGCGAGGCCCTTGGGCGCTCATAGTCGTCATAGTATGGGTCGTCGTCGTAGACAACGCGCTCTTTGTGGTGACGTTCCTGGCGTGGCATGACGGGCGGAATCTGATACCGATCACGATCAGCACGTGGGATGTGCCTGGACTTCGTTTGACAAGAGCCGGAATGGGAAAGGCTCGGGACGCGGGGGCGTTGCGGAGACGCAGGCTACCGATGAAGCCGCTCGCTTTGGTCCCTCTTTAGTCTGGATAGTGACGAGTTGACTTTATTGCGCCCGGGGGCTGGAAATGCACGATCAGATCGATAGAAGCGTGAAAGAGCCAGGGTGGGGAAGAACAAGACGGTTGTGGAACGTCGGAATTCTTGGTATTATGGTCGTGGATCATCCAAATGTTTTGTGTGAATAAGGAAGAAATCAAAGCACGGAAGTGAAGGCAGCATTGTCAGTGGGGAGTTACCTGATTATGAGATAGCAAATTTGCTTGCTCTTGAACACTGGAACTCACAACACCGGGGGAACCTTGTATCACTGGGCACTCGTTCTACTGGCACTTGGTACCCGACTCGGCAGGCTGAATCTTGCTTTCAAGGCTCGCCCCAGAGTTTCCCGGTTGCTTTTTGGTAAGGGGGGTGATGTAAGAGTTTGAGACGCCCGAGGATCATTACTGTTTCGGTGCGCAGCTGAGGTGTGTTGGGGCGACGGGAGACGTCAATATGATGCGGCCCGCGCACCCGTTTCTGTTGCCCACTTGAGCGAAACACGACATGATGTCAGACCGATCGTGCGCAGGGAGTTTATTTCGGTGAAGTCTTCAGTTGGTTCTAGGCCTTGAGGGATCTCGGTGAGTAGATTGGTCTATGGTTATCCTCTATGACCAGATCTTTGGGTAAAGCCGGTAGTCAACTCTCCATAGCCATAGATGAGTCTTTTTTAACCTAAAATCATTTCAAAAACTCTGGCATGTCTCTCTTACGTTTTCTATGGATTAATTCCCTAGCTGAACACGAGTTCGAGAGCTCAAGATGTTGAAGAGTGATAGTGCGATATCAGCTGTACCGGTGCGGCCCCCGCATTCACCGAAAATAAAATCGGGGGCTGGGCTTCCACCGAATCCAAAAAGCATCATGACTTTCGTCCATTGTCCAATCGGGTTTCATGCGATCGATCAGGGACGATCGATGGGGTTCAAGACCCGGGAACGAGGCTGAAGCGAAGGTGACTACCGGTACCCGTACGGATACCTAGTAGTCTTATTTGGCCACACTCCCATGTTAAGAGCACCTTAATGAGACGGCTGGCGCTCGTTGCCATAGGCTCCATCATTCCATGAGACTAAGGTAGATCTGTCAACGCGCGCCGGGCGGCTAGACCATCGCTTTGAGATGCTTGCTGCAATCAAACGTGGCGCCGTTAGCTTAAGGGGGCCATCGGACACTTTGCTCCATGTCGCGTGCAAGTCGACTTTAATTGATTTCTGCACGGTGGTTATGCGCCAGGGAGGTCGGTGCCCCTTTGATGCGCGTTTCTACGCGTAAATGACAGCGTCATAGACTTACAGACAATCTGTGAGCTCGACAATGATCTCAATATTCGTTACTATGGTGTTTGCAGCTTAGATCGCGATTATGATTGTTGATAGTGAAGAGGGACTTGTATATGAACTGAGGAAAGGGCCCTGAACATGTGGAGGAAAAGTCGCAACTCTTCAACATCAACAACAACAATAACAACACTCTACAACTATAAAGCCCAGTAGACGGCAACCTCTTCCAACCTGCATCAATACCCTCAGTGTGGCATAACATCCCAACATCATTATGTCTTCCGAAGCCCCCACCGGAGATGTTCAGGACAACGAGTACGTGTCCCGCCAGGGTGACCGTGAGCCCATCAGTGTCCTCGGCGACGATGCTAAAGTCGAGGACCCTATTGATGCTGAGACTGCCAACTCCGATGCTCAGCTAGGTAAGTCCAAGTTCGACCTCGCTGAACGTAGCATGAATCCCTGACGCATTTACAGAGCGTGATGATAAGGAGGCCATCGATAAGAGCAACATCGTGGAAGGTCGTACCCGGGGTGCTAAGCCTACTGGCGAATACCGCGAGCCCGGTGACACCGAGGGGTTGGAGGATAAGCGTCTTGAGTAAATCACAAGCGATTACATTTGGAGTGCGCGGCGTTTGGATTAGGAGCTGTATGATTAGTGTTTGAACCGTCTGATAAGTTAAACTTGATATCATTACAATCTTTACATATACATGTGAACTCGAACAAACCGTTGAAGTCGAAGTTCCAATGCCAAGCGGTGTTGTCATGTTTCGAATCCCTTGAGTCAGCGATCATGGCTACAGTCATTCTTTACCAACAAGATTACACTATTCCACAACACGCCCTCAACATAATTACGACCAACCAAGGTTTCAAGTTATTAGGAGGTTCCATATGTGGGTACATGCTGGTAAAGATAACATAACACTTGAGCAGTAGTTTCAACCATGGCGGCTTCAACCATTCCAGCTATCTATGGGCGAAGGCTTCAATCGATCGGCCCTGAGTGGCCGTGCTTTGTGCTAACCTTACGGTATCGAATAACCTCATGACCTTCCTCGTCATAAGTCCTCTCGGCCACGACCTTATAGCCACCAATAGCGGGGAAGATCTTGGTCCAGAAACCCCAGTATACACCGCCAAGAAGGAGCACGCCCACCCCAACAATTGGGAAGACGTAGTACGGGTAACCCTCTGCAGTCCACGATCCCGTGGGTGGGATGAAGGGAACGATGCAGAGGAACACGTTGGCAAGGACATAGAGGATGGTGATGGGGAAGTAGGTGTGCCAAGGTGATGTCCAGTTCTCTCTCTTGTTCCATTGGAGGTAAAGGAGACCACTGGTAGTGATGTTAGCTGATATTCAATGAAGTAAATCTCCCAAGACAACTTACATCCCAACAAACGCGTTTATCCATGCGCCGGGATATCTGTTTATGTGTCAGTAAATACTTAGTTGCTACTTAACTTGAGGGACTAGACATACGTGTAAAGATCTGTAATGAAGTTGTAAGCTGGCCCTGCAGGAGGGGCGACAAGAACGATGACAGTAACGATCCAATGGAGGAAAAGCTAGTAGTGTATTAGCTTGAGAACATGTGATGCAGATGCTGGGCACGTACGGCTGCAGCCGGAGCATTGAATGGCTTGTTGGATGCCCAGAAGGTGCTGAATGGCAAGAGGCCTTCCTTTGCCAACTCTTGGTTCAGCCGAGCATGGGCGAAACTGACGGCAAGTACATTTCCCAAGTTGCTGATGGCGACGAATGCTGGAAGAGCTCTGGCACCGGCACTGTTACCAAAGACGTTGCGGAAGAAGACACCTGCAACAATGACTTCGGACGTGGCGAGCTCGGTCTTGGGGATGGCGGCAAAATACGCAACTAGAAACCACGGTTAGTCGACGAGCAAACAAACCCCCCGATTTTGAATAGTAAAGTGAACCCACCATTTGCAAGGACGTAGAGAATTGTCACGCCGCCGATGGCCAGAGGTGCAGCAATAGCGAGAGTCTTGCGCGGGTTCTTCAACTCGCCCACAACGTAGTTGGCATTCTCCCAGCCCTTGTAACTGTAAATGATGCGAAGCAGAGCTGTCGCGTATCCATAGACACCACCGTTACCGTAGCCCTCTCCCTCTTCGATTCGGAAAGCATTGTCAAAGTTGTGGGGGTTTGGCACGCGACGTCGGCCAGCCAAAGCGGCGAACCCGGAGAAGACGATGAAGAGTAAGACAATGACCTTGAAGACGCCCAAGACATTGAATAGACGAATACCCCATTTAGGTGTAATAGCGTGGATGCCGACTGCGAAGGTGGCGCCGGCGATACCAATGCCGCGGGCGGTCCAACCATCCGGGGACTCGGATCCCGATGCGAATAAGATGTATCGGCCGAAGGCAAGGGAGTTTCCGGACGAGAAGCCGAGAAGAATCATCTGCGAAGCGAGCACGCAGGTCGCTAGGTATTTCGGGTGCTTGTAGGCGCGCTCGAGGTAATTCTTTTCGCCGCCGGATCGAGGGATGGCGAGGCCGAATTCGAGGAAGACGCTCATACCGCAGAAGGTCAGGACACCACCGATGACCCATAGCATGAGAGCGACGCCGACGGAGCCAGTTGACTGGAAGATACCGGAGGGAGTAGAGAAGACTGAGAAACGGGGTGTGAGTGTTATCCCCATCGTGATCGACCGTCTGTTACTTACTACCGGTACCGATCATCTTATTTAGAATGAGGAAGACCGCGCCAGTAACGCCAATCTTGCGCGACTCATCGAAGGCGTAAACTTCCTGCTGTTTGACCACTCCTACTTCTTCCGCCGAAGCATCGTCACGTACGACGTGCCTGTCCTCCCCGACATGATGATCGTATTTGAGTGGTGAACTCATAGCTTGCTGTCGACGCGGGAAGTGAAATTCGGCCGAGCTCGAGTTCTTCTGATGTACACGGCTTTCACGTGCTGGCAAGCACTGCCGGTAGGAGTTCCAATGAAAGAATGTGTAGAGCTCCAAGCTAACACAAGCGGATCGGCAAGCGGGCGGTTCTTCGAGAGGCCGACGGGTGCTATATATGTGTCCCTGCCTCGCAGACAGCTAACGGCTGCAATGCTGCGTTGCTGCGTCGCTGCGTCGCAACCCAAGACAAACGGTGAAAGTGATCATCCCAGGCTTTGCAGAGGTCCCCGCACGTCATGGCACTGTAACGTCACGCAAGGTTCGACCTGCGAACCGACTCGCTGCCTGGTACCACGAGGGCGGCACGGCGGGACACCCAGGAGTAGACGGGCGAGAGAAAGAGCACTCAAGGTTAATGAAAGCGACCTATCGAGGTTCGAATATTGATGAGTCTCGGGGGTCACCGTAGCTCTGACGAACCAGATCTTGCGGAAACCACAAAATAGCCTCATGAGCCAACATCCATTGCTCCACTCCAATCAGCCAAATCTTAAAAACTTTGCGTGCTTCCAGAAGGAATCGAGCATGGGTGTTGTCTCGGGAGTATGTGCCGCCGTGGCTGACACTCTTGATACGAGGTGATGGTCGCTATGGCTTCTCAAGCTCCCTGAGCTGCCTCTTGAGGCTGAATCGTCATAAATGCCGGCAAGCTCGCGAGGATAACTTCAGCCAGTTATCAGTGCTGTCCTACGCCTTGAGAATGCGTACCTGTCTTGGAGTGGCCAGGTCAAGTGAGATGAGCATCGCCGCCAAGAGAGCGTCAGCAGGCTGGGCTGTCTGGGCAGCGGCGAACGCAGCCAGAGGTTCAGTGGCTTCAGTCCGAAGGCCTTCCAGTTATGGAAGGTCGTTTGGGGCCTCTGAACACGGCCCTTATTGCAAGTTGCTTGGCAGTCCTCCAGAAATGGGTGAGAGCCTGGGGGCCCCAACTAAGACAGCAGTGGAGTCAGTCAGGGGGGCTGATCGTTTGCCCTGCGGTGCGGCGTTGTTGCAGTGCCAAGTGAACCGGTGGTGAGAAAGAGGAAAGCCAAAGGGATTTTGTTGATGTCGTGCTCGCTGGGGTGGGATGGCGACAGTTGTTGGACCGAGACGTGCCGATGGGCTGTCTTTTTGTTTTGTGCGCTAAAACCTCAAATACCCGCTGATGTGCAGCGTCCGCCCCAGCTTATATCAACTCTAAATGAGTGCCTTATTTTCGACAATCGAATTGAGTAACATCCATGCATTCTGTCGTGCGTGCTACCTCAGTTATGACCTCTTCTTTCTCAGCCTGTCAATTCGGGCAGACTTCGTTGCGTACTTAAAGCACTTTAGCAGAGTGCTTAGGATGACTATATGTCAGTGGGTAGACTTTATCTCGACTTCAGGCAACTCGAGTCACCAACTCGCCTGAGACAACATACACTAAGGTAACATTCTATCTAGTCAACTACTGGAAGTTGGAGTGACACATGCACTGTCTCATCTTTTTTCGCTCAGGATGGTGATCTACTTCTTCTATTCGTCCTCTATCTGCAGATGCCCATGATGCCCTTCGTATCGTCTTTGGCTCTTACTGTTTCGTCTTGTGCACAGCGTCTAGTCGTTATGGTGGCCCCGCCCAACTAAACGATCCGAACTAGGTGTCGACCTCCCTCATACTTTACGCACGGCAAGGTACTCTCTTCCGCATTGCTTGCTAGCAAGCTCTCTCTCAACTCCTTGCCCCAACCGCGGGCGATTCCAATGCGACGAAAGGTGCCGTCTTTTCTATTTTTAAGCTGCAGCAATAGCATGTAGATGCTTCCGTCATTGCCTGGTCTTGTTCTGGCTGGCATACAGAATAGTTCCGGTCGATGGTTCTGTGTGCTGGCCCACTGCTGGTTGTCATCGAGATAAACGTGTGGTTGATATTCTTTCATGACTGAATCAGCGCGAACACTGACCGAAACGCCATTTACAACCATCATCAAGAACTCGTAGTTGTTGCTATGACTGCTGAACAAGGCATCGGGCAGAAGCTCAAGTTTCTTGAGGCACCCCCAGAGCTGTAGCCACCCACCGCTGATCAGGCCTGTTGTATCGCTTGTAACATAGTCGAGATGTAGATCCTGTACCTCGATCAACATCTCCACTGCTTCGACGTCCATGATACCCGGAGTAATGTGTCCATCTACCGCCGCCCAAGACCAACTTGGGGCCCGGTAGACTGATGGCCTAGCTTGCGTCTCGCCGACAGCGACAGACCACATCAGTTGCCGCTCTAGATAGCGCCGCCACATCCCTGCAGCATAGCTATCCTGAAGTAACACTCTCATAGCCTTCGCGACAGCTGAAAGTGCAATCAACTTATCGCCGGGAAATGTCAACTTAGCTCGAGTGTAGGTATTCACAATGTTGCACCAGTAATGGTACTTTGACAGATCGCCGTGATCCCGGGGTCTCCAACCCATTTGGTTGTGACAGAAGCCCTTGAACCGACTGGGAAATCGAGATAGGTCTATCAGTAAGCCTTCCGGATAAATCTCAGCGTCTTCTTTTTGATGGCACTCCCATAGAATCTGCCGTTGACCAAAGTAAAGCACTCTAGGAGAGAGGAGTCTCTCTTGGAGCACCCAGGCTCTTGTGTTGATGACCGCACTGGAAACTTCTGTCCTCCAGAAGTTATAGTCCATCAAGAGAAAGCGATTAGTTTGTGAACCAACGGGAAGCTCTACAATCTGCGAACACAGAGCATCGGGATTGCGGTCGTGAAAGAGGGAGTGGTTCGCGTCTGGGGCATCGGCCGCTGAGATGTTGACAAAAGACCCCGAGTAGATCTTGTCCATGTGCATTGATTCTTGTTTCCAGTCAATGAAGTCATCACCGTGCTGAATAATACACAGGGAGTCGATCCACAGGTACCGAATATTAAGGCGGCGACTCGTTAACATGGCGTCACGGTACAGGGGAGGGAGGGTGTCGAATGAGATTTCCTGCTGTAGTTGTGCGTAGTTGCTTGTTGTAAGGTTGAAAGACTCCTTCGTACCCCAACAATGACTGAGTGTCGCGTAAGAGCCTTGGATAGGGGTGATGTTCGGTAGGACGAGTCGGCAACTTGAGCTCTCCTGGTCTAGAGGTCCTGTATCTAGGAGGCGGCTGGGGTACCACTGCGTAGTGGTAGATGCATTTGGTTTGGCACCGCATTGTGGGTGTTCAGCTAGACATTCCGTAATCCATCTCTGTGCGACATGAAAGGTTCCTTCGGATCTTGTACTACGGGAGTGGGATTTGATTTGGTATTGAGACGCGTAGACTATGTCTTAAGATCAACATCCGAGGACGCATAATTGAAGTCAAGAGGTGTTATTTCGTAGCAGGTAAACATACATTCTTGTGGAAGAAGCAGAACAGTTGCGCGGAAAAACCCTTTCCTTGGATTTCTCTCTAGATCCACAACTTTGCCTCGGTCAAAAGTGAGTTGTAGTAAAAAGGCGCGGGGATATGCGAGTGCTGCTCCGTCTTCCCAAAACACCGAGGTGAGAGGTGACTCGGTTGCTGGAGTCTTTCGTTTCGTCGGTTCACCATTTGACTGCCTGACCTTGCATCGCTCTTCGATATCCAGAGCGGCCCAAAGCCGATTGCAAATATAACACCCAGCGTCCACAGAGGCCGTCAGACTTGTACTATCGCGGTGATGCGGTATGAGGTGATCCGCGCCGTCTCGCTCGTTACTGGTCAGCGCGTAGTCCTTCCTGAGCTCAAGGACGTGGCGACAACAAGAGCAGATCATCTTGACGTCCTGAGCTTTGCAACTTTGCAAAGTTGCTTCTGATATTAACGTCCCTGACGAAGACCTATGGCGAAAATTGTCAAACGGCTGCGGCCTATGGTTCAGCTTTATCGCTTGAGCGCGTCGATAACATGCGAACTGTTTTCTTGTTGAAGATTGTTTGCACCCCTAGGCTGCCACGTTGCATACCCCTCGCCATTGGATGGCTTCAAGATGGGGGCGCAAAAGACATCAGGCAAATCATGTCCTTAGGATGATTCGAAGGAACATCGGGTGGGAATTCACAGGCATGTCGTAGGTTTATCTTCTTCCATTTCCTTCAAGGAATGGGCCCCTGTGGTTGCATGGATTAGCGGCGATTCCTGCAGGAGCCCTCCAACAGCAGCTGAAAGTGAAGCGCCGTGAGCACTAAGAGGCGGGATGCTTTCAGTTCGAACAGCTGTCCCAAAGTAGTTCTTGAAATGTTTACACTAATACTTATAATACAGCAAGTCTGTCGTTGTTGACATGACTTGTTGAATGGGGATATCGGCCGCCAAGCCAAGCGTTGGCAGCGTGTCGTTCAGAGACGCTGGCCGGGTATCAGCTTCCCCCGAGGGCAGGTTTCTTCGTCCCGAAAAGTCCAGCATCCGATTTGTGAGATCAGCCTGCTGCCAAAGCCACCAAAGTCTGTCGATCTGCACATGATGGAGGAAGAACAAGGGATCTGTACTTTCTGTTAGTCTTCAGGTGCTCGAATAACGTAGGTGGTGAGGGCTTACCGTTTGGAGATGTCGAAGGGAACAGGTCTCCTCCAACGGCTGAGTGAATCGCACCGTGGGGTCCGTTTTCCAAAGTAGTCGCGAATGTAGAAAAGTTGCTAGAGGTTTTGATGATTCCTGAGATCTTCCCGGGCGAGTACAAGCCGCCTTCGTAAGGGCCGGCATTCACCCCAATACCGTCATTGAAACCGCGATTCAGACAATGCGAGAGCGCTGTCGTTGTGTAGTAAGACACGGTAAAGTTGGCGAAAGCCCCGTCAATTACGCACATGGTCAACGGGTTCGGTCGCGTTGGTGAGACTAAACCGCCATTCAGGCCGTTTCCTCCGAATCCGATGGTGGTGTCGTTGGAGAAAACGGGGCTCTTAGACATGTCTTCAGAGTCAAGGGTCCAGTCCCAGTAGGTCATTGGGCCTGTGTACCTGCACTCATCTCTCAAGGCTGTCTCATAGATGTGTACAAAGTACCGATGCCAGGGGAGGAATTGAGCGACAAAATGAACTGCGATCGTTGATTAGCATGATGCCAAATGTTGACGCCTGGAAAGAAAGGACGCACTTTCGTTGTTGAGCTGAGCATGGACATAGGGGAAGTCGTTGTATCGCGACGATTTGAGACCGATCTTTGACGGCAACCCATCTAAGCACTTTACTGCGCTGATGTAGTCTGCTTTTGCGGCGCTTGACAGGGATCGCCACTCGATTCTTAGCGGCGCATCTTGAACTGGCAGAGCGATGGTCTCGCTGGCCAGCGCTGCTAATAACGCAAGATATCCGGCGCTCTTGGTGAAACCCTTCATGATGGCGAGTTGCTAGAGTATCGAATCGGTGTACGAAGCAAAGGATTCAAGTTGACGATTATGTTGCGGTTTTCAACCTACAAGTATCCAAAATACCATGGCCATCTTCTCGTATTACTCGGTTTAACCCCTCTTAGCGCATGCTGCAATTTCGGTACCGCCTTCGTATAAGGGGGGCACCGAGCTTAAATTACGGCTTCGCGGATGATCCCTCCTCCACTTGTCGTTCGTCGCCCTTTCAGATTTTCGTACACGAGGTCTTTCAGATCACCGATGGAGATGCTCTATGCGTTACTCAATTCGCTGTAGCTCGAATGGCGGAGCGAGGTACTTAAACAGCAGTTTGAGAGGCCGCAATATCGAATGCGTCTTCCTCCATCCAGGCCGGGTTGCCTTAAGACATCAATTACAGGGTATTTCGAGTCAGCCAGCGCAATTTCTACAACGACTCAGCTTTGCATGAGAACCCGCACCCGAAATTCCCGATAACATCACTCTTAGGCGAAAGCTTCCTCCGGCAAAGCCGTGCGCTCCACTCCGGGTCGGAGAGTCGGGGAGTTAACAGTTGAGTTCGCCGGGTCCGATGAGATAGGAATCACACCACAAAAGACATTCTTGAGCGCGCTTCGAATTAATAAAAGGTATTGACACAGCATCAATGGATTCAAGTTGGGCCTTGATGCATGGCATGCCCCATGGAGCAACGCACTCGGTTAGCTGACTTGAGTATGCAAGGATACGAAGCTTTGTAAATTTCGAAAAAAAAAAAAAAACGACGCTTGCGATCTAAAAAGCTTCAAGAAGAACAAGAAAAGAGGTTTAAGCTGTCACCATCGCCGAGCTCCGTCGCATTACCAGTACATCGGTGTCATCATCCGCCGAGGTTCTAGCAGCATTACGGGAATGAGATTCTCGATGTCCGCATCCCATTTCGCCCTCCAAAGCCTTTCCAACATCGGTCTTCTTTGCCTTGCCTTCACCAGATCCTATCGAATTGGTCACACTCTGTGCTAGAGTTGACTGAGAGAAGGATTCAACTACTCCATCGGCACCACCCGTGGACGAACATGCCCGGCTCCGCGGTCGCGATGGATTTAAAGTCCTCTCGTCGGCCTCCACATTCGAAGGGTTGGGAGCTCCATCTCCTACATTCGCTCTATTCGAGGGATGGCACATCGGCTTGAGGATGAGGGAAGGGCCCTCCAAAGTGGGATATCTCTCACTGATATCGTCGAAAATGTCCCAGTGATGTGTGAAGTATGTCACCCTGGGAGTTTGCCGGTGACCTTCGTAAACATTTCGACCCCATATTTGGCCGATCAGTTCTCCCGTCTCATCGTGCACTACGGCCGCACCCGAGTCACCGCACACACCGGGACCCTCGGAATTCCAGTCTTCGACCAGCATGAGATCTCCAAGGTTCATCAAACACCATTCCCGGGTAGGCATATGTGGGTATTGGCGGACTTTGGCAGGTGTCTCGCATACCACAGCATATCGAAATCCACTACTTCGGCCAGTTGTCTGGATAATCTGCAGTTGGGGGCGTTGCACAAAGGCTCCTGGGATTGGGTCCGAACGATCATCAACCTCGATACCCGATGGTGCATATCGAAGACAGTTCTGAACTTCATTTTTCTCGGCTTTGCAAAAGGCCCAATCCGTAACTACTTGCGTAGTTGGCTTGCATTCTCCCTGAACACTTGGCGCAAAATGGCTTAGAGATCTCGAAGGACGGGTTGTTCTGTACATCCGTCCTGAGTAAGCCTGAAGCTCCCCAATCTGTAGTGGTCCCTCGTCCTCGTTGCAATCAATGTAGGCTGGGTGGAACAAACCGTAGCGCGGCACCGGGTACGGATTACCCAGCTCTTTCCAATTCTCAATACCATGGAACATATGCCAGTTGACAATCCAGCCATTACAGCCGCCGAGTCTGATAGCTGGTCCAAGGGTTGCGGCGCAATCGCTCTCTTCAAAGCTGACAGAATCCCCAAGCAGTCTCTCGCTGTGCTTGCGACAGTTTCGAGGCTTCTTCAGCTCGTTATCTGCGTCCTGACTCGAAGCGAATGCGCCTGCAGCACTCCCGACATGCCCGATGCAAAACTCGACCGTGATTGTGCCATGAAGCTCTTTGGATTCCGCAAAATACAACAAGATCTTGCTCCGGATCTTGTTACTGGTGTCTCCAGGAAGCTCCTTGGGCGTCATAACCTCGACAACTCTGGTGCCGTTTCCCTTGCCAGGGTGGTTCCCGAGTACGTAGCCGCAATCATATCCGACAATATCTCTTAGATCTTGATCGAAGTTCGGCGACACTTTCGAATCCCAGATGTCTACGAAGGCTTTTGATGTAGAGTTCAGTGCGTTAAGATGCTCACGTACTGCTTTGAGGTCGACAGGCTGTTGCGCCATGACTCCAGCGGGCCTCGATGCTTCCTGTTTCGGTACGATGGATCTTATGATTACCCCTTGATCTTGAGGAGTCACGATTTCTTGGCGGCTCTCTTCCGTAATGGGCCTGGGGAAGGTGGGCGATAGACCTGGGACGGAGTTCCGCTTTTCTGACTGCCGTGAAAGTGGCGATGGTCTTGGAATCCCAGTATCTGAATGTCGACGTCGGAATAGATACCTGATTTTTGATGTGGCAGAACTCAGAGAAGTTCCGCTGCTGCTCAAGAATGAGCTCAAGGTAGAAGATCGAGTCGGGTTTGGAGATGGGTGGCTGAAAGGCGGATTTTCGAAAACTGGATGACAGAGTTCAGCTGAGTCGACATGGAACGCGTCGTCTAGATGACTTGGCCTTCGCCACGGGGGCGGCTGTGCGAAAGTTTTCGGTGCAATGCTCGCCAGGTTCCAAGCCAAGTATGGGTCTGGAACTTGCGCTTCCGAGTCCTCATCTAAGAATTGATGTTGGGCCTCATGTTGGCTTTTAGGCTCGAACCTTTTCTCCCTAAGGTGTGTCAAATGTTAGCCTGAATGTGGACCCGAACATGCTCCTTGTCGAGTGAACATGGAACCCGAGTGCATGAAAGGACTGGACAACACAAACTTATTTCTTTTGTTCTTCCTTGATTTGCTACGCTTCCGATTCTTTTCATTACGCTTGGATTTCTGCTTGACGCGTTTATAACGAACAATTTCTTTGATCGATGTAAAGGAGGTGAAGCTTTTGAGATGCATCTTGGCCTGTGTATTGGCATCACACTGCAGCTGCTTGTGTTCAAGTCGCTATGCGCAATTCTCGAATCGTACAAGGACAGAGCGGAGCGTCGGCGATCATGGCACTTATGCACTCGAGCTCCAGTCTCATCGAGGCCATGTGGTTTACGTCGCTCCATCTTGATGCGAATCTGCCTGGTGCTTGCTGCCCTGGAAATGGCGGAAAGCCCTTGGCTGCCTCATGGCGTTGCGGCTGTGCCTCGTGGGAAACTGATCTGGAAAAAGCCCATCTGCGGCCTGAAGTGGTATGGTGTAAGCTGGTGTAAGACAAGAGGAGCTCGACTAGGTCCAAAACCTCTAGCTGCAGAAGGTTGCTGTCTCGGGCACAGTCAACAGGCAGATTGAGGCAACCTGTCAGCTTTTCGGTGACCACACGGAAGTTTGATTGGCTGCGTATGGAACCGAAATCCTCCACCCTTGTCCTTGGTTGAAAATGCTTCTTCTTCTTCTCATTTTCGTGTGTCTTGTTGAGCATTGCTAAGTCAAAGAGGCTCATTCTCACCGTGACCAATGCGTTGTTTGGCATCTAGAACCGGTCCGCGACATCCAGATTTCTATGTAGGTACTTACACTTTCTGTCTAGTAGGATGACTCAAGTTAGGATTCCTTCCAAGTCGAATGACTGTAGGCGATGTTTTGATACATTCAAATCCGAGTTGGCCGTGGATATGAGGTATTGGCTCTTTGGGAGACGATCCCGTGCAAAATCCGGATCGCAACCTTTGCAAGCCCCGCGCTCAATGAACAGTGATTCACTGGTCTGAGTTTCGACGACTAAGCAGATGCCTTCAAAAGGCGGGAAAACATTCCGCCACTTGCAAAATTTGTATTTTTCCAAACCTCGGGGTGCTCTTTTGGCGATCAGCAGGCCAAACATTATCACAAACACGCGTTTAGAACATCAGAACCAAGTGTCTCGAAATCGTCAAACCGTCGAACATCAGCTATCACGCGACATTCACATAAAATCGCACTCTCGAAGACTCGGAAACCAAGTCACAATGATGAAAATCCGTGGCGTCTTTCTCTCGGCCATGGTAGTCACTACGATTGCGCAGCAGGCCAACTTTGGATACGAGCGGCTTGGAGAGCGTCGCGATGTTCTTCCCCTCCTCCCCGGGATGGGTTTCGTAGGTTTCGCATATGTGCCTTTCGGAAACAGCTGCTAATTAGTCGAGGCAGATTCACACATTTCTGTATGACACGATGAACATCATTCAGGAATTCGGTCACTGGCTATCGGCCAACACCACTGCCTTGGAGTGAATGGGGCCTGAATAGGCTGGAGATGGCGAGAGTCGAAGGGGAGATGGAGAGGAAGTAGGAAGCATGAGGCAGATCCCCTTACTTAAACAAGAGTACAAGACTCGTTTCAACGGAATGGCATCGTGGCTCACAAGCTGTGCGCTGCCCGCCAACCAATCCCCGTGAATATCCCGCTGCGATCAAGTATGTGAGCACTATGTGAGGTAAGAAGTAGACATTTATTTATAGCTCTAGCCACAGCTTGTACTGTATAACCCGTGTATCCAAAACTCCATTTGCACCGTTACCAGCACGAGAACAAGACCATCTCAGTGTCAAGGCTGATTCCGACTAATTCAAGCCTCAACCTCCTCCTCAACCTCAGCATCCTCGGCATTCTCGGCATTCTCGACCGCGCGGCGACCGTTCTTTCTATTCTTCGAGTTCTTAGAGTTCTTAGAATCCTTGGAGGCTTGCGAGTGATATGAGGCAAGCGAGTCCTTGCAGCCTTTTCCACAGTTATTAGCGTCCTGCTT